GGACCACTTATACGCTGCATGCCCAAACAAAAATTCCGCTCCTAGTTGCCTAAATTGTAAAAGGGCTGAGTTAAAAGAGAATGAACACAACACCTTTAGCAATGCCTGCCCACAGAGAATACTCTGGGATAAAATTGCAAGAGCAAAGGTGGCATATTGCTAAGGGTGCTGTGGGCAACAACAGAACGGGGAGAGGAAAAAAGGAGCAGAAAGAAATATATAGGGTAGAAAAAGGAATCTGGAAAAAGATAACAAAATATATTGAAAAGAGATGGCATTGGTTCCACTTTCTTGAGGAAAGAAGGGAATCAATATTAGGGATAAGACTGCTGAAGCCCCTTCGTGGAACAAAGCAGGGAGTGCGAGTGGAGGCCAAAGGTAACCACGGGGCCAAAACAAATGGAGGCAAAAAATTATTTTTTGAAACTCCACTTGCGGAGGCATACCGGGTTCTAGAGGCTACCACCCAAACTCGGAAGGAAAAAGTGACCACGGAGGGACTCCAGCAGTAAATAGAGATAGAGATATAAATAGAAATAAGCGAAAGACAAATTGACTAGAATACAATGCACGTAACATAAATAAGAAAAGTAAAAATAGAAATAAGTAAATATTGTAAATAAAATAAAGCAAATGTAAATAGGATAAGTAGTATACAAACGACAGTCTAAATAAAGACAAAGAAATGTAGCAAAGAAAATAATGTAATATAAGAAAGTGAATGTAAATAGATTAAGGAGAAAATTGTAATTAAACAAGAAAAGGAAATAATAACTTAAGAAAATAATTGTAAAAGTCAAAATGAATATAATAAGAATAGTATCTAATGTAAGAGGAAACTAAATTATAGAATAGAAAACAGCAGTGACATATAAGAAACTAGATAAATTATTAAAATTGTAAGAAAATAAAAATGTAATAGAAAATAGGAAATGTAGAAACGATAAGTAAAAATAATAAAAACGAGAAAAGAAAAACTCGAACATAAAAATACGAAGTAGAGAAAAGAAAAACTCTAGAAAAGAAAGAAAACCAAAAAAGCATAAAAAAGTCCTGCCACTGAGTGGGGAAGCCGATAAAAAAAAAAAAAAAAAAAAAAAAAAACGGCATCCAACAGCAGCCTTCCATCGGGGCCACATTCGTTGCGGTTTCGATCCCTGAGGACGTTGTGCCTGCGATCCTGGCTAGGGGACGCCGTTTCAGCTTTATGTTTGGGTCGGTGTACCTGAAGTTCAGGGACGCCAAGGGGAAGTACGTCGACACTCTGCCGACGTCCAACCCCTCAGCACCACTCGGGGCTCAAACCACGGCGAAACCTACACCAGCGCCCCCAACACCATCCACATCCAGCGCTGGCCCCACGGACACCGTTGTTCTACGTGCCTCGTCACCGGCTGTCGAAGTTCCGGGACCCTCGCAGGTGGCGTCTTCGCAGCTCAGTGAGGAGTGTCTCCTGGAGCTCGACGGGCTGGGACTTGAGGACGTCGACTGCCAGGACGATGGCGTCCCTCTGCAGTAGTGCAAACATACTGCAAATAAATCTCCACCACAGCGTAACCGCTACGGCTCAGCTTCGGCGGTGGTTGGAGACCAACAACACAGCAGTCGCACTAATCCAGGAGCCGTGGATTAGGAGTGGCACGGTGCGAGGACTCTCCAGCATAGGAGGTAAGCTCGTTCAAGCCACTACTAGCGACGTAAGATCCTGCATATACATTTCCAAAAACATCAGAACACAGCCCTTAATGAATTTCTGTTCCAGAGATCTCTGCGCTGTAAAACTGACCCTAAACCAAGATAATAACAGTTGTGACGTGATCATAGCCTCTGCATATATGCCTGACAGCGAGCGGGCCCCACCAGAAAACGTTGCGTCTCTGGTCCGCTTCTGTGCTCGGGAAAACGTAGAACTGATCATCGCGACAGACTCCAATGCCCATCACCCTGTGTGGGGAATGGAACAAAGCAACAACAGAGGTAACCAATTATTTGAATTCCTTCTGACTACTAACCTAGAGTTAATCAACACAGGCAATGAACCTACCTTCGTAGGCAGACGGTGCAAGACCATCATAGACCTGACCCTCGCGACACCAAAAGCGGCAACAGCTATATCTGGCTGGCATGTCTCCAATGAGGCATCATGCTCAGATCACCGCTGGATCCGTTTTACACTACAGGTAGGAACTCTACCTCCTACACCCCAAAGGTACCCTCGGAAAACCGATAAACACCGCTACGCACAACTACTGGCGGACCTTCTAAGAAACAACTCCGGTAAGGGCAGAATTGAAACCACGGAGCAGCTAGAACAACAGGTAAAACACTTGACAGACAGCATAACGCGTTGCTATGAAGAGGCCTGCCCCCTTAGACTCCCGAACTCGAGAGTATCCGGAAAACACCACTGGTGGGGGCCGGAGCTCGAGAGATTGAGAGGAAAGGTGAGGAAGTGCCTTAACAGAGCAATGAATACATGCAGCGACACAGACTGGGACAACTACAAAGCTACCAAAGCTAAGTACAAAAAACGTATTAGATACTGGAGAACAGCCTCCTGGAGGAACTTCACCGAGGAGATAAGCTCCACCAACCAGGCAAACCGGGTAAGGAAATTGCTGGCCAAGCAAGGCCCTGGCGTGCTGGGAAGCCTGCGTCGACCTGACGGCACATTGTGCCACAATCGTGCTGACTGCGACGCTATCCTCCTAGAAACCCACTTTCCGGACTGCCAGCTTACAGAGCAGGTGACTTGGCAAGATGAACCTCCAAGTACAACAGAAGGATGCTGGAGACTAGCAGAGACGGTAATTACGCCTGAGGGAGTAAAGTGGGCTATCAACTGCTTTGCGCCTTTCAAATCTGCTGGCTCTGACGGCATCTTCCCAGCACTACTACAATGGGGCGGAAAGGACGTGGTCGATGCGGCTACTCGTATACTAAGATCATGTCTGGCTCATGGGTACACTCCACATCTGTGGAGGGAGGTCAAGGTAGTATTCATACCCAAACCGGGTAAAACCGACTATACTAACCCTAAATCCTTCAGGCCCATTAGCCTAACAACCTTCTTACTTAAGACGATGGAAAGGCTATGTGACAGATACCTACGCAGTGGAGCATTAATCAATGCCCCACTACACAAACATCAACATGCCTACAGTTCAGGTGAATCTACTGAATCGGCTCTCCATCAGTTAGTCGGTAAGATAGAAGAAGCCCTTCAAAATAAACTTATCTGCCTCGGAACCTTCATCGATATAGAGGGTGCTTTCGATAAGACCAACTTCACCAGCATTGAGTCTGCTCTCAGGAGACACGGAGTAGAGCAACAAATCATTGACTGGACAGTTAACATGCTTCGCAATAGAATAGTTCGGGTAAAAGGTGATGACAGCAGAGGAGCACTGGTGGCACGAGGATGTCCGCAAGGAGGGGTCCTTTCGCCACTTCTGTGGAACCTCGTAGTCGACGACCTGCTGACCAAGCTAAACTCGAACCACTACTACACCATAGGGTATGCAGATGACATTACTATACTTACCCTAGGCACCCACGCCAGCATTACCTGTAACACCATGCAAGGTGCTTTGAAACTGATTGAATGCTGGTGCAGGAAATACGACCTCGCAGTTAATCCAACAAAAACAGAGCTGGTAATGTTTACAACCAAACGTGACGTAGGTGCTTTCAACTTGCCGAAGCTGTTTGGTATCACATTACAACTGTCGAAGGAGGTAAAGTATCTAGGCCTTATACTTGACAGTAAGCTAAACTGGAGTAACCATGTGGAACACAAAATCAAGACAGCCAGCGTAACACTTTGGCAATGTCGTCAAATGTTAGGGAAGCGCTGGGGTCTTGCACCAAAACTGTTCCTATGGTTATATTACACAGTCATACGACCAATGGTAAGTTATGGCGCCATCATATGGTGGCCGAGATCTATCCAGACTACTTGTGTCAACAAACTACAAAGCTTCCAGCGGCAGATATGCAGCGCGGTGACCGGGTGCATGAGTACAGCTCCAACCGCAGCACTGGAAGTTATTTTAAACATCACACCGCTCCATATCTACATAAGACAGGAAGCGGCTAAAACAGAGTTGAGACTACAAAAGTTTGGACTGGTAAGGTTCGAAAGAGCAAAGCATCTCAACGGTATACTGAAGGAATGGGTAAACACTCCGCTCATAGATGCTGCATGTGACAAAATAATACCCGCCTTCATATTTGACAAAAAGTATAGAATACATCTACTGGATGACAACGATCCAAAGGTAACACAAGGCTCTCATGATCTACACCGACGGCTCTAAAACCTCATCGAGCACGGGCGCGGGTGTTTTCTCTGAGGACCTCAACATACACATCGCGTTCCCCTTAAGCCCATACAACACAGTGTTCCAAGCTGAATGTATGGGCATCACACTGGCGGCAACAGCGATCCTTTCAAGAAAGGTAACAGGTCAGGAAATACGAATACTGTCCGACAGTAAATCAGTCCTACAAGCTCTAGATGCCTGTTTAGTCAGATCGAGCCTCCTACAGGAATGCCACCAAACCTTAAACAAGGTAGGGTCAAGCAATTCCATCACCATCCAATGGATCAAGGGACACAGTGGATCACGCGGAAACGACGCTGCGGATGAGCTGGCCCGGAAGGGATCTGACACGACCCCAACAGGTCCTGAACCAATCGTCCCAATACCGGTAAGCTGTCTCGTCAATAAAATCCGCGAGCACACTGCCGAACTACACCAGCAATACTGGCTCGACCTGGAGACGTGCAGGCAGACCAAGCTCGCTTTGCCACGGGTGAACGCTGCCTTCTCCAAAACTCTCCTACAGCTAAGCAAACCTACATTGCGCATGGTAACGGGTGCTATCACTGGACATGCACATTTTAACAGACATCTTTTTAACTTAGGTGTCACGGACAGCCCCCTATGCAGAGGATGCATGGAGGCAGAAGAAACAGCTACTCACGTTCTGCTGGAATGCAACGGAGTGGCCGAATACCGGGCGAAATACCTCGGCTCACCGGGAAACCTTCAAGAGGCAGTCACCAATGTGAAGGCCCTGGGGGCGTTCCTGGGGGAGCTGGGCTAGCTGGAGTGATTCCGGCCATACACCCTCCTCACGCAAAACAGGCGCCATAAGGACGTCGAGTTGCGGAAACGCCCGTAGCAACAACAAGAAGAAGAAGATGGTAAAATATGTGGAGTTTTTGGCAGGATTTCATCGAGTGCGGTTGGCGTCTTATTTTAATTATTCTAAATATGTGTGATTTTGTGTTACAACCATCTGTGCAACTGAAAATTAGTGGAATCTTTAAAATATACGCTTTTCCTAGCAAGTGGACGTGAGAATTTTATTATAGTGTTGACTACCTCACAGAAGCTTATCGAAAAAGCCAATTTGAACTTCATTTCGTGCTATACACTAAGAAACATTAGGATGCGTCACACCGATATTCTAGTGTAAAAAAATATTATTATATTTAAAGACTAGGCTGTAGGAGCATTGTTCCCTTTGCCTTCCCTAAAATGAACGAATAACAAAAAAGTAAAATATGTCAAATGCGTCAAGATGGCTGATGGGTTGTGTGTACAGTTCTTTTTGGTATTTAAATAAATTACTTCACTGAGAGTTCTTTCATTCTTATTTAGCATTGGTTTTACGAGTTAGCCAGATAATCACAGAACAGGAACATTTAAGTGGATTGAAATAGGAATAGATAACTTCGGAATAAGTCTTAAAAGTTTAATGTAAGGTTACTAAGAACTTTGAGGTTATGTCGGAACTTCAAGTTACAAAGCCTCCTGGAAAAAGCTGGAGAGAAATAAATCAAGAAAGGAAAACACTAAAACGGCAACGCAACGAAGAGAAAATATTAAAACGTGAAAAGCGAATTGCTTTAGACAGAGAAGAAGAAAAAAAGTTTAAGGAAGAAGTCGAGAAAGAAAAGAAATATTCTGAGATTTCAACTGTCAGTATAGCAATTCCAGGATCAATATTAGAAAATGCTCAATCTGCTGAACTGCGGACGTATTTAGCAGGTCAAATAGCGAGAGCTGCATGTGTGTTCTGTGTAGATGAAGTAATAGTTTATGATGATGTTGGGGACAAATTAGACACGAAAAAATCTAAAGTAGAAGATGTTGATGGAGTCAAACTTGCTCGCAAAAGTTGTGTGCAGTTGGCAAGGATTTTGCAATACTTGGAATGTCCACAATATTTAAGAAAACATTTCTTCCCATTACATAAAGACCTGGAATTTGCTGGATTATTAAATCCATTAGATGCACCTCATCACTTGAGAATGTCTAATGATTTCAAATTCAGGTATAGATGAACATTTTTATTGATAAAATCTAAATGTCAGTCTCTTACTGTGTATATTCTAATGACATCTAATACATTTTAGGGAAGGTATAACTATGAACAAAAAAGTGAAACCTGGTCGAGGATCCCAAGTAAATGTTGGCCTTCTACAAGATGTTTCAACTGACAAATTATTGAATCCAGGTATCAGAGTAACAGTACGCATGTTAGCACCACAAGGTGGTAAAAAGTTAAAGGGTAAAATTGTCAGCCTTACTACACCACGAGCAGAGACAGGTGTATACTGGGGATACACTGTCAGGATTGCTAATAACTTGAGTCAAGTTTTTACTCAATCAACATATAAAGATGGGTATGTTTATTAAGTCATTAATTTCTAAGCTATCCTTAGACCTTAAATTGTTTCTGCAACTTCAATATTTAAAATATACACTGTGAAGTTTGAGTTACCTGAGTTTTACTAGCTAATTCAAACTACAATTTAGGTTATATTTCACAAACAAAATCTTTGATTAATTTTTTTCGCAAAATGTCTCCATGTAAATTCACTAATTTTGCAATTACGGAATTTATAACCATTTTTATTGTTTTAAATTGATTCAAATAAACCTACTTAGAATCTATGTACCTACTTATAATGGGTAATAATTCTATAATAGGTATGTTATTTACAAATATGTGCTGTTGATATTTTGTAACTTATAGAAATTAATGTTTTTATATGGGAGTGTAGTATTGTTACTGTATGTTCACATTATTATTATTTACTTGTTTTTTAAGTTTCTCAGGTAACTCCAACTTCACAGTGTATAATTAAACTAACTAGCAATAAAAAACTTAATTGTCAGAATTAGAAATACATATTTCTTAGTATTTCCATAAATTGATAGAATAATTCCTTAAATTATTTGCACAACACACTTAAATGATGAGATGTAGTATTTAATGGCCACAAAATGTAAAATGTTTTATTTCTTTTTAGATATGATTTAACTATTGGGACCTCAGACAGAGGAATACCTGTAGATGATTTACCAGATGGAGGGCTAAAATATAACCATGCCTTAATAGTATTTGGAGGACTACAAGGTATAGAAGCAGCTTTAGAAAGTGATGAACAATTACAAGTTGATGAAGCCAGTTTGCTTTTTAACCATTATATTAATGTGTTGCCAAATCAAGGTTCAAGGACAATACGCACTGAAGAAGCTGTGTTAGTAGCCCTCTCCGGGTTGAGAAGTAAATTGAAAGCAAATAATGCACCCATGATATTTAAAGAATCTGGCATTGCAAAAAGTTCCATCTTTAGTGGTAAACTAGAGGTTTCTGATCACTCCGGAAATGAAAGTAATTTTGATTTGAGTAGGTTTGACTAAAATAAATGAGGCAAAAAAATATATTCTTTTATTCCATACAAAATATTCTATAAAAATGGAAGACACCTTTCCTGGCTGGTAGGAATGTAATACTATATTGTGTGTAACTTAATGCTTATCAATAGCCATTTGTACTGAATCTCGAAGTAGTTTAATAGTTGCTGCTTGATCTGCTGCTCCAATCACTGCTGTACCTGCAACTATCATGTTGGCTCCGGCCTGAAAAATAAATGAAGGATAATAACAATAAAACATTGGATAATTTAAAAATAAATTACTTCAGCCTACATGTTACGAATACAAAGTTACATCTATGGATTTTATCTGACAATATAATACCTTTTTCAAAACATGGTATGTTTTTGTTTTATAATAAACTATCTTGGAATGATTGAGTGGCAATGGAATATACTTACATCTGCGCAGCAACTTATTGTTGAAGGGCCTACACCACCATCAACTTCAATATCTAGTAATGGATAATGCTCCCGAAGATACTGCACTTTGGCCATTTGGTTTTTCATGAACTGCTGACCTCCAAAGCCAGGTTCAACTGTCATTATTAAAACCATGTCTGATAGAGCTATGTACTTCTCCACTTCTGAGACAGGAGTACCAGGCTTGATTGCTACTCCAACCTAAAAATGAATTATCTCTATAGTTGAGAATTAGAACACCACAGAGAAAGTAAGATTTATACAACACATTACATAGGTTCTTTCCTTTTAAAAAAGGTTTTTTAAATGATTTTTTTAGTTAATACATCAGATTGAAAAGCTTACTCAAATTTCAGTGGCATGTCAGCACTGGTACAAGTACCACGTGCACGTGTGACAGATCAGCTACACAAGTGAAAGTGTAGTGCTAGCTTAAAAGTTAATGCATTATTTTAATTAATCGAAAATTATAAGGGCTCTTCCAAATACTTGCCTTCATTCCATTCTCTTTAATTTTTCTGCAAATATCTTCAATATTATTAACTGGCTCAATGTGAAAAGTGTATTGGTTTACTCCAGCATCAGCCATTGGTACAATCCACTGAAATAAGAAATGAAATAGTTTTCTTGTGTTTATTGTTGTCTAGTAGATAAGGGGAAGATCTGGAGGGGCAGTGGGGTAGTCATCTGACTTTTCCCCTGAAGATATTTTGAGTTTGAATGATAATTGAAAAAGCAGGCTCTGGAGCATTTGTTATTTGTTTGCTGTTATGCTACATATTTACAGTACAGTAATCTTAAGTTGATTTTTTTATTCTGATAATGTGACCTTTAGTTTACCTTACAAGGTTAAATACTAAAAAATATGGTAGGTAGGTCACGTTTTTTTAACTGCTTAAAAAACTATAATTGTACCCAATTTTATGTGTTCAAATTAAAGGGAAGTACCTAATTAATATTTAAAGTTTATAAAACTTACTTGTTCGGGATTTTGTACCATCATGTGTGTTTCAAAAAAGGCATCTTTTATTTTCGAACGTAAACATTTAACTATTGGGTGTCCGAATGTCAAATTTGGCACAAAGTGTCCATCCATTACGTCCAAATGTAGATAATCAGCACCATTGTTGAGAAGTTTATGAGATTCTTCATATAACTGAGAAAGATCAGCGTTTAGAATCGACGGGCCGATTAGCGCTCTTAAACGGTTCATCGCAGTTTTAAATAGTTTGTACCAAAGAATTAAACAATTCAAACTTTTGGTTTGTACACGTAAAATTCTTATCCAGTCTCCAGTAAAGTAAAGTACATAAACTATTGTCACTAACTTTGTTTTAAAGGTTACACCTTTATAAATGACTTCACAACAAACTCATGGAGTTTTCTGAGATAACCTCTTCACAAAATATTTATTTTAAATAGTAAGCTTTAAATCCTCTATGCCGGCACTTCACTCGGTTGTGCGTGTTTGCCACAGACTAGTTAGAGATACTACGTATGTGTTTGCTATTTGAAAATTTGATAACAGTCTTTTCTTATCACGCTATTTAAGAGATGAAAAGGATAGAGAATGTCAAATTTACAAATAGCAAACACGAATAGCCAAAATATAAACGTCAGGGAGAAAAGTTGCACAAGTAAGTTAGAACGTAGCTGTGAACTAAGGTTGCTTTCCAATTACAGCATTATAGCGTATTATGCGGCATAATCAGTGTGACCAACCTTAAATTAGAGATCCTGCCCCGCTTAGGCAAAAAAACTGACAAATCCTGCCAAAATTTTAGGCACAAAATGCCGAAATAATGCCCATATATCGACAACGCTGATCTGTCCTTTTTATGACATTGACAAGTTGGCGCTGCTATCAATACAGGTAGTTCCAATTTTGCCCCGCTGGAGAACGGGAGGGCGCTACTAATAAATAATAAAATAAAATAAGCCTTTATTGCTGTAAAACATTAGAATTGAATTGAATAGATTAGAATTTTATTATTTCACAGCTTGTCCTTCGACAAAGGCCTCCTGTAAAGCTTTCCATTTTAATCGGTCTTTTGCTAGACGTATCCATTCTGGGCGCTACTATGCATACTATAATAAGTTCCTAGTTTTTGTCACAGGACTGTTCAGTGTTGTTGCACTATACAATTTTGTATACTACTACGCGATATAATCGTTCATATTGACGTTTCATGGTATTATGGCAACCATTCGACACACCGCACGAAATCAGAAACAAAATAAAATTTTGTCTCTGACAGTTTTTCTAATCCGACTAATTACATCAACAACTGACAAATAAAAATAACGGTAGGTAATATAAACATTATGCTCCACACTTTAAGGTTTACAATGGAATGAACTACAAATTCGACTAAAGATGTAATGGGAAATCCTCGAAACAAAGGTATCGTTGCCAATGTTGCCATTGGCATTTTAAAATTCCTACATACTGTTTTTTCTTTTATTAAATAAATAAAAAAAAGCTTAAATTGCTATAAACTGCCAAATACTGCCAGATTTCTAAAACGTCAAACAAATATGCCACAGCGTAAAATAAATGGCTAAACCTGCCGAAAAGGCAGGATCCTGCCACATATGGTCACCCTGGTGATGCGTACAATCGTACCAACTTAGAGACAGAAAATTAACAAGTGTTTTTTCTTTAAGTTGGCATTGATCGAAATGTTTTATTTATATGTTATCGTTAGTAATATTATTTATTGTTGAAAAATTATTAAAGCTTTCGTTTCATTAAATAGTTTTTTTTAAATAATCAAAGTTCATTCAAACATTGACTTTTTTTTCAACACTGAACTTAGCGCACTCTGCTGGTGCATTTGAAAACTAATTCACGTTCCAATTAAGCATCAGCATAATTGGGCATTGTGCGGCACTGAGTCGCATTATGCTCTGTAATTGGAAAGCATACTAAACGTACGAAATCGGTAGCTGCGGAAAGGGTAGCTGCGGCACCCCGGAAGCAACACAGCACTTTGGCCCGGATTTCCAGCGAGACGGTAACTTCGTGGTGTAGCCGACCACGAGGCAACGGTCAAGGCGTCTACCGTCTATGGGTCGCCGGCGAGGGGTGTGGGGGTCGCTCTTAACATCTAGCGATGGACTCCGGCCATGCTGAAGGAGCAAGGTTGCATGGAACCACTGGTAGTTGGGATCGACTACTAGCCATGTAGCTGCAGTTCCCGATGTCGCGCTGAGAGGAAAACCCTGTGCCCCTATATCCTCACCACAATCCTGGTGCCTTGATTTTTAATATCGGCATCCCAGTTGTGGCTCCGTGGCGGGTGGGACTGGAGAGGATGAATTTTATTAGACACGTGGAAATGGCACAAAACAGATCCCAAATTAAAAAGACCGACAAAGACGATGACCTGGTGAAGGGGAAACCCGGTTTCAGGCAAGACTCAGAGACTGACAGACAACCGTCGTTGATCCTGGTGAAGCGGAAACCCGGTTTCAGGCCGACGGAGACAGACAATTGACCATCTACGTCCAGTGAGTTGGTAGAACTGGTGAAGGGGCAACCCGGTTTCAGGCAGCAACCACAGGACGCGACAGACGAGCTTGACTCCTGGCAGGTCGCTACGCACCGACGTAAAAATCGGCGCGTGGAGGACAATAACAGGAATCCAGCTCAGGACACCAAACAGAACACGGGCCGACTGAAGCACGGTAAACAGGCTTCTCTCGTCGGAGACCACCAGACAAGCGGAAGCGGGTCAGGAAGGAACCCAGGACCAGGGACTGACAGACGGACAAAGGAAATGGATTGACAGACGGACTGACAAAAGACAGACCAAAACCGGACAGACAGACAGACAGGAGGCCTCAAAGAGGCTCAGACTTGATGACACGGTGTCACCGAGAGGGCAATATAAAAAGCCCAAAAACGACGAACCGCGTCGCTCTTCTGGGAAGGTCTCCTTCGCCGACGCAGCTACTGCAGACCTGCTGGTGATTATCACCAGCAAAAAAACAGGACAAATTAGTGCCACCCAGGCTGGGTTGTTCCTTAAGGCTCTAGAGGAGGCCGTTGTGGAGGAACTGCTAATAGCAGGATCCTCAACGGACGAAGCCCCGAACCTTAAGGGAAAACCCATCATTGGGGAGGGCGCCCTGAGCCTCTGGTGTGACACACCCAAAACACTAGAGTGGGTCAGGAAGGTAGTGGATAGACTAAAAATACCGGGGTTAGACGACTTGGTAGTACAGCGCCAGACCGACAGGCCGAAGAGAGTGGTTTATGGCCTCCTCATATCGGGGACGCGAGAACCACACACAATCGCCAAGCTGCTGCGCTACCAGAATAAGTTCGCAGAGGTTGATCGCAGGTGACGACAGCACCTTTTTGGTGTTTAGCACGACCAGGGACGTCGCGGAGGGGCTACTAGCTAGAGGCAGACGCCTCTGCTACTTGATGGGCTCTGTATACGTGAGGTTCAGGAACCAGGGTGACCAGTACCTGGAGAGCCTGAAACCTTTAGAGGAAAATACGTCTACTCCGGTACAGAGCACGTCTAGACCAGCCGTGACACAACAGACCAACACAGACACTCCAGTTGCAATGGAGCCCACGTCTGAGGAGAAGGGGGACACAGACGTGGTTGACGAGTGGGCAGACAAACTTGGGGGGATCGACATCAGTCAGGAGGTTGATGTCGATGTGCTTCTCGCCTCAGATGGAGCCCCAACAGACAGACAATTAAGCTCCTGCGGACAAACCTCCAGCACAGTCGCACCGCAACGGCTCAACTTAGGAAGTGGCTGGAGGAGAACAACGACGGGGCTATTCAATTCGATCCAAGAGCCGTGGATCAGATCCAACACCATATGTGGCCTCAACAACACCGGTGGTAAGAATTTTTACAACCCAGGTAACCGCGCACCGCGGACGTGCATTGTTTGTTCAAGACACTTACAGGCAAAAATAATGACACAATTTTGTTCTAGCGACATAACAACAATACAAATTAATACAACAGCAAAATCCAAGTGTACCTGTCCTGGTAGTTGCCTCTGTCTACATGCCTGAAGGAGAAGAAACTCCGTCAGGGGAACTGGCTGAGCTGGTGAGACACTGTGAACAAACTGACAAGGCGCTGATCATCGGCACCGACTCCAACGCCCACCATCAATTGTGGGGCATGACGAAAAGCAACAAACGAGGTGAGGAATTAGTAGATTACCTATTTACCACAAACCTTAACATAATAAACACAGGTTCTGAACCTACTTTCGTAACAAGAAGAGGTAGATCTATCATCGATCTTACTCTTGCATCAAGGAGAGCAGCGGGATTGATCTCTGACTGGCACGTCTCCCCAGAGGCATCCTGCTCTGACCACAGGTGGATTAGGTTCAACATCGCGGTACAGCGTGTTACCCAGTCACCAAGACGCATACCCAAGAAAACGAACAGAAGCCAATATCGCAGACAGGTAACACGATCACTGCGACATATGCAGGCTGAAAGCTTAAACGAAACCAATAAGATAGACGAAACAGCTGAGGAATTAACAAGGGTAATTATCTCATGCTATCAGACAGCCTGTCCTCTCAGTACACCATCATCCAACTCGGATGCCAGCCAGTCGTGGTGGGGCCCCGAGCTATACAAACTGAGGAAAAAGGTAAGGAGACTTTTTAACAGGGCCATGAACACATGTGACGACCAGGACTGGGATGCGTATAAAGATGCCAAGGCTCTTTATAAAAAACGCATCCGATACTGGAGCAATGGGTCTTGGAGGAAATTTTGTTCTGAAATAGACTCATGCACCAAGGCAAATAAGGTAAGGAAACTGCTTTCCAAAGACAGGCAACAAGACCTTTCACAGCTCAGGAAAGCTGATGGCTCCCTCACAGAGACAATGGAGGAGGCACAGAGGGTACTACTCGAAACCCACTTTCCAGGCTGCATCATACACACGACACACACTTGGAATGACACTTGCTGGACCCCCACGGAACAATCCTGGAACACTGCAATGAGGACAGTGTCTATGGTCAAGTTAAGGTGGGCCATTAACAGCTTCCAGCCATTCAAGGCAGCCGGACCAGATGGCATCTTTCCGGCGCTGCTTCAATGGGCAGGTGAAGCGTTAATCCTTATCCTGGTGCCCCTCCTGAGAGCGTGTCTTGCATTTAGATACACGCCGAAGCCCTGGAGGGAGGTCAAGGTAATCTTCATACCAAAGCCAGGTAAGGCCGACTACAATGAAGCGAAATCTTTCAGGCCAATAAGCCTCTCATCATTTCTGCTAAAGACCTTAGAAAGACTGTTTGACAGAGAGCTGAGAGACAACCAATTTACCAGCTTTCCACTACATCCAAACCAACACGCCTATTGTCCAGGTAAGTCGACAGAATCTGCACTACATGTAGTCGTAAGTAAAATAGAGGACAGTCTCAGACGGAAAG